GACAGAGGTTGCAGTGAGTCAAGATTGCGCCACTGCACTCCGGCCTGGGCAACAGAGCGAGACTCTGTCTCAAAACAAAACAAACAAAAAAAGAAACGGTACCTGTCAAGAGCTGATGGGACACTGAAGTGGAGAAGTCTTACAGGCAGTAGGATATTTCGGTCTGGGGCCCCAGGAGAGAGGGAGGTCCATTCTCTGGATCCTGAGGGACTCACAGGAGCCATGAGCTCAACAAAGTGGTGAGGACAGAGGCTGAGTGGGTCCCCTTATGTGTCTAGCGTGAAAAGCTCAGTAGGCAGAGAACTGAGTCTTGGGAAACAACCTATTTAAGGAGTGAACAGAGGAAGAAGAGTTCAATCCAAAGTTCAGCATCAGCCCAGCCAAAGCACTCCTCTGAGAGCTGGGCTTTAGAAACCTCCTTCTATTTGTCTCCTCCTCTGGGGTTTCTCCTTTCCCCTGTCCATCTTACACACTGCAATAAAATGACATTTTTCTGAGATAACTGTCCTATCTTTGTTACTGAATAAACCATTTTTCACAACCAATGTCCAAGCCAAAATCTACTGTCAGGTTTAAACTACCTCCCTCCATTACGAGTTACTAGATCACTCCCCATTTCTCACTACATGTCTGCCCACATGTCAGTCACAGGCCTCCTGGAAGCCTCTCCTTTTTAGGGTCTCATTAGCACCTCCAGGCCTCACTCTTGCTGGTCCTCTCCTCTGGAATGATGTGCCTTACCCTCTCCACCCATCCAAATTCCACCTGTCCTTCTACTTCCTGAAATCTTTTTGGCAGCATCAGTCCACACCAGTGGCTCTCTCCTCAGCTTTTCACTGCATGGATGCTTCAGTAAATATTTCCTTGTCTTTGGATGTTCATCCATTTCAAGTACAACTGCCTGAGCTCCCTGAAGTTGGCCACAAACTCATGGAGGGAAAGGACATGTTCTTCATTTCTTTTGTGCCCACAGAGAAGCCACCAGTATTGGTCAGAGAGCTTCCCAAGCAGTCTGTGCCCCCAGAGTCACGTAAGGAGCACGTGGCAGGGGGTGGCAGCGAGCACCTGCCAGATGGCAGGATGAACTCTGGCATAAGCAGGCAAGAGAAATCTAAAGAAATACAACACTGAATCAAGACTTGAGTGTTATTTTGGAATACCTGAAATGAAAAACTGCAGACAGATCATGTGTAACATACGGTAGTTAGTAACTGAAAAAAATGACATTCTGACTACTCAGATTCTATGAAAAGCATCTAAAAATCAACAGTTTTTAAATAAATAAATAACAGCTGCATTTTAAATGAAATACACAGTATGAGATTGCCTACAATAAAAGATACAGCAGCAAACAACAAAAACATACATTTGAAACATAAAGAAGAAGATGGAAGCAAAAGTTCTAGCTTAACCCTAATTAAACCTGAAGCCTGGCACTGAGTTTCCTGCCAGCCAAAGTGAAAAGGGGGAAAAAAAAATCACCAAGGAGCTCTCATATTGGGAGGTATATGAGTTAGGGATCAGAAACAGAGATCTCAGAGTCAGACACAGCTGGATCTCACTCCCAGATCCCCATCAGCAGCTGCCCCTGGACAAGCAAGCACTCCCGTGAGCCTCCGGGGAAATGAGGGAACACCTGCATCTCTCTAGGCGCACACTGGGCATACATGAGATAACATATACTGAGTACTTACCATAGGACTGGCACAATAAATGGTGGTGGTCTTTTTACTGATAAAGAGTGAAACATGCTAATTCTGCAAGAGAGACAGGACCCAAGCTCCATAAGAAAAAGGACTAGGGGCTATCTTTCTTATACCTGTGTCCTCAATGTCCAGCCCTAGGCCTAGCATATAATAAGCACTAAGTACTTATTTGTTGAAAAGTAAACGAAAATCAAAATAAACTCTTCCCCTGGTATTACATTCCGATACAACTGCACCCTGTACAGTACTCGTGCATGCACACAAACACGGCAGATAATTCCCAGTGGTGGTTTAACAAGAGTTCTCTACGTGGTGATTTATCACACTTATGTGAATAACACTGAGACACAGCTGAGTGAAGAAGTTCAGCAGGAGTCTAAGCACTGAGTTTTGGGTGTATCCATGTGCAGACCCTAGAAGTAAGCTTAGCAAAAAATCAAGTCTGGTCTGTGCTGCCCAGCAGACCACTCAGTGTAAAAGCCCGGCAAAGGCCCAAGGGCTGGTGTCCTGCTCTGGACTTCAGACCTGTTGGTGAGACCATCCTATGAAAGTGGAGGAGTCTGACAGCAGTACAAACAGCCATAAAGGCCCGTGCCACTTCACAGGCGCCTGGTGGGAATGCACGCTCCAGCAGGGCAGGGATTTGGGTCTGTCTCATTCCCTGAGGCCTGGGTGCAAGCTGGTAGATCCCATGATGTTCCAAGTATCTGGGGTGGGGAAAGACACCGTGCGGAGTTTACGGCAAGGCAGGAAAGGAGAACCATAATGTGGGTCCATAGGGTCCTGGAGCGAGGGTGTGCGCACGCAGCCAAGAATCCCACTTGTATAAACTACTGCTGCACCACGAAGTGCCTGTCCATAGGCCGTAACGTGAGCATGTGGTCAGCAGTGGAGACCCACCACGTTACCAAGCCAGGCGGGCCGACAGAAACCCGTCACCAGATGGACATGGGCATCTGGGCTCAGCATGAGTGGGGCTGCAGGGCATGGGTGAGCTGCAGAAGCAGACATGCCAGACCACCCTGGCAGCCACCTCTGCTGCACCACAGCCTCTTCCCAGCTAACACCGACTGCCACAGCGGTTGGGCCCCTCATGACCAAGTGACAGAGGGGAAAACAGCCAAATGGATAGGCTGGCTCAGGACATGAGTGGCAGATGGAGGAAACGGCTGCATGATGGCTCGATCTTGAAAGACAATGATCAGGGGAACCCCTATGGGCAGAGCCCGGGCAGCACATTTGGTCACCAACTCTGAGTGGAAAGAGAAGTGGCCTGAGGCAATCACACGTGTGGATCTGCTGGGCATGGCAGATCACCTGGTTGGCCGGTCAGGGGACTGGAAGGAAGGGCACAAGGAGGACCCAGCTAGAGGAACAGCAGCATCAAGTGTTTTGCAGGTAGTGCCCACCACGGGCATCCACCACCGAAAAGGCACCAAGTGGAAGGTGGGCAGAATGGCCGTGGCTCCATCGCCAGATAACCCAGTGCTGGCACACGAATGGACGGCCACAGTGGCGGCACAGAGGAATGTGCGGTCCCCTCACCCAGACCGACCTATCTCCTGCCACTATGGAGCATCCAACCTGGCACCCACAGAGACTGCATGCACCGGATAACCACCGTCCGCAAGCAGAACAGTCACGCAGCACCGAGACGATGCTGGGCCCTTTCCACCCTGCAGCGTTATGGAACACACTGTCCCCCACCCCTTGCCCCTGCCCCAAATTCACACACTGAAGCCTTAATCCTGCGATGTGACTGTATGCTGACAGTGTTCGCTCTTAAACTCCTTGTATAAAAATCTTCCTGAGGAGGCCAATCTGAGAAATGCAGCTTCTCTGGTTTGCTTATGAGTACAAATTCAAAGCTCTCCAATGGAGAATCTCCTCCCAGGACTCCCAAGGTATCTCAGACAACATATTTCCCCCAAATCTGCTCTTTTGATATTGGTGAAATGGAACTATCAGTCCTCTATCTTCAAGATTATCTAGGCCAGAAACATCAGAACACCCCCTCATAAGCTCTTTGCCTCTACCTTTATACTCAATCACTACTCAGTTTTTCTGACCTTGATCATTCTGAGTTCTCATACCTTTCGCTCTTCTCTGTTTCCTTGTAGGATTTACCTCCTGCTAAATACAAGGCTTCATCTGTAGCCTGTGTTCACCTTGGATGTAGTTCTTCTCTTACAGAACTTACTAGTTCTTTGCTTTCGGCTCTCAGCTCTCACCCCTACAGAGGTGACTCCATCGCCTACATATATATGTAGCTTCCACATCTCCAAGACAGAGATGTCCATCCTCCAGCTTTAAATACATCATGAGCATCTTTATGGCATGTTCCAGAGTCACTCAAATTCAAGCACATCTTTAAGAAACAACTTCTGCTTCTCTCTTTCTCTTGTAGACTCTGCACCTGATAAGGTGCCCCCTTCCTCCCATCCCAATATAAACTCTGGGACCTGCATCTCCAATGAGACTCTAAGGACCTCAAACCTGATTTCACTTCTCCAAACCATCGTGAGATCTGCAGACCTACTTCTTGCATCTAATGCTAGTGGGAGACAGAGAGATGGCAGAGGTAAGTATGGTTTACAACTACCCCAGGGGTAAAGAAGGTAGAGGCGAAAAATGGGGAGCCCTGTAGGCTGGCTCACAGAAGTGTCCTAGAAAGATCAGGCCTGAGGTTTTAGCCTGATGTGCACTAACCCTCCTTCCTTCGCTGCCCATGGAAGACAAGTGTGGTATCAGATTGTTTGGATGCAGTATTTGTAGACAAATGTGCAATAGTTTCTGATTATTGATAGCAAGGTTGAGAAAACACAGCATTTTTTAAATCTACTCCTTGGTTGTTCCATTGAAAATCTTCTTACCTTCATATTCTCTTCATTTCAATTAAGGAAAATCAAGAAGTTTTACATTTGTTCTACACTCCATGGCATATGATTAGCATTTTAACAGGAAGACACTGTGGCTTTTACAAGATTATAAAAACAGATAAATAGCACATCTTGTTAACTAGGTTGGTGTTTCTCTAAGAAGTCATGCTTATCTAATATAGGTGGAAAAAGAATGTCCAGTTTGACCAATCTTTCAGCTACAATTTATTTTTTACCTTCTTAAAAAACTAAGAATCGCCACTAACAGAGACCTACATTCTCTTTGGAAATGTCAAAATCCGCTTGCAAGGCACTGGAATAAAATGTAGTCTCTATCTCACATGCAATCACAGAGGAAAGATTTGCTGGGGCCACTGAGAATTTCTAAATTTTTAGTGATTATTATCACTTTTACCTGCTGCTGTCTCTGTCGCCTCCCTTGTGCAAACTGAGAGAACATCAGCTGCCGGTCCAGCAGCTCCATCCTCTGCTGTCTCTGGATGTCTAGCGTGGCTCCCATCCCAATTCTGGCTTCGCTGGTGGGTTCTGAAGAAGAGAAGATGGGTTCAAGTGTCCAAGAAAAGAATTTTGCCATCCAGCTGGGGATGCAGAGCACCTGATGCACCTGGAACATTTTGCTGTTGTAGCACAGACCGGACATCTAAAAGAAAAACGTCCAATGTGATTGATTAAATGTAGTATCATTTTAAAAAATGTACATGACACAAAAATCAGCAGCCTCCAAACACTGCACATAGTGTTCTTCTTAGTCACAGCGTGTTAGGCAATAAGCAAAATCCTCTACCACAGAACACTAAGCAGTACAAATCAACACAAAACTGAATTTACTCAGTAAAACAAAATTGTTTTTTATTGAATTAGAAGAGCTAGCAAAATTCTAATCATTTAGTATACAAAGTTCAGGTAAAAGATTGTCAAGACACTGTCTTCATTTTTTAAAAAGGAGTAAGAGATCTGATTATTGAAACACTTTCACACTGTACTGACTCTGTGGTTACCTTTGTTGGCAGATGGCCATCGCAGAGACACAAGCAGAAAACAACTGCCATGTCTCAGCTGACCCAGTCACACGATCAATTTATCAGAGAATAAACACAATCTAAAATCTTGGTTTTTATTTACATAGTGTTTTAATCAGTTTTTCAAGTACTGATTTTTCTAGATATTTAAAATCCTCACCAACATTAGTTAGCAATGAACAATTCCATTTATAAACCAACCCTGTCTTCATCTTGAAGGTCACTTATAATGTATGGTTACAGAAGTCTCAAGGCTTCCTATGATTTTCTAGCTAAAAATGACTATGGCTATTCCTTTGTTTAAAAAAAAAAAATCTTGATGTGAATTTCATTCTTAGGATTAGAAGATCAAATTAGAACATATTTGACAACTTTCTAATGTAAGTATACTTCAATGTTTTAATAATAAAATTTAAATTGATGAATTGGAAAGAATTCTTTGAGACTGTGTTACACACCAGGCACTGTTCTGGGAACTTAGAATACAGCAGAGAACAAGATAAGCAAGGCCCCACTCTCACAGGGCTTATAGCAGTCAATGTGGAGAACAGGCAGTAATCCAGTCAACACGTGAAACTATTTCCGGCAAGTACTGGGAAAGAAATAAAGTGACTTGGGGCATGAACCTACTCTGGGGGCGGCAGGGGACATCAGGGGTGCCCTCGGAGAAAGCGATACTTGAGTGAAGATCTTAAGGATGATGGGGTGCCCATGACTTGACAAACTGGGGAAAGAACACTTCAGGCAGAGAAAGCAGCAGATGCTGTGCAGCCCGAGCTTGGGAGTGTCTATCAGGTATCTTGGGGGGCCACTGAGTGGGCAGGTGGCTATGTAATTCTAGAACTAAAGGAAAAGTTGGAGATAAGGATTTCGGAGTCACTGGATATGATGTGACATTTAGGGTAATGGGACTAGAAGAGATAAAATGGGGGTGGGGGAGATACAGTAGAAGAGAGAACAGGACTAAGGACTGAACCCAGGAGTGCACTAATATTCTACGGACGGACAGAGTAGGAAACGCCAGTAAGGAAATCTGAGACGGGGCTGCCAGTGAAGAGAAAGGAAATAGAGGAGTTCAAGCTAAGAAGTGTTTTAAGATAGGGATGGTCAGCTACATCGAATGCAGCTGCTAAGTAAGACAGAACTAGCCACTGGATGTCGCAAACGGAGGTGTTTGATAAACAAGGTGTTTACAAGAACAGTTTTGGTACCAAAGACAAACTGTAGAGGGCTGAAGAGTAAATGGTGGACAACTTCTGGTTTCAAATAATTTCTGAGCCCCTTCTCTCAAAAATAGTATAAGACAACAAAGAAAATGAAGACAGAAACAAACTCCAAGGTCCGTGAAACTAGAAACTAATCCTGAACCATGCTAACAAAATAGAAAGCTTATCAAGTGATTATAAACCACTCTGCATATAAGCAGCTAAGTCCAAATGCCTGCAGAGAGTCCTGTGGGACTCAGACAAGCACAGGGACTGGAGCAAGCTTGTTCAACCTGAGGCCCATGGGCCACATGTGGCCTAGGACAGCTTTCAATGTGGTCCAACACAAATTTGTAAACTTTCTTAAAACATTACAAGGTCAGGAGCAGTGGCTCACACCTGTCATCCCTGCACTTTGGGAGGCCAAGGTGGGTGGATCACAAGAGGTCAGGAGTTTGAGACCAGCCTGACCAACATGGTGAAACCCCGTCTCTACTAAAAATACAAAAATTAGCCAGGCGTGGTGGTGCACACCTGCGGTCCCAGCTACTCAGGAGGTTGAAGCACAAGAATCGCTTGAACCTGCGTGGTGGAGGTTACAGTGAGTCGAGATTGTGCCACTGCACTCCAGCCTGGGTGACACAGCAAGACTCTGTCTCAAAAAACAAAAACAAACAAACAAAAAAACCAAAAAGAATTATGAGATTTTCTTGCAATTTTTTTTAAAGCTCATCAGCTATCATCAGTGTTAGTGTATATTATGTGTAGCCCAAGACAATTCTTCTTCCAATGTGTCACAGAGGAGTCAAAAGACTAGATACCCCTGGACTAGAGGGTCTAGGCCCTGTGGAAGGAGGGTTACTTAAGTCTGGGTAAGAGGCACCCCAGTTCCTCCTCATGCTCCATGTACCCTTTCTCTCCTCCACAGAGAGAAGGGAAAGCTCTGCAGGGCATGAAGCAAGGAGGGTCCATGTGGGTAGGGAAGGCCAAGGCCTCTGCACAGACAGACTATGTGCATCTCATGGGGCTGTCAGCATAGGGGTTCCAGAAGAAGCCAACAGAGGGAATATGGATATTATATTTCAAGAGATAAACAGCTGAGAGTTTTCTAGAATAAATAAAGAATATAAATCCTCAGGATAAAAGTGCAAGAGTCCCTAAAAGAATGTTAAAATGAAATTTACATCTAGATTCACTGTGGTGAAACAAAAGAAAGAAATCCTTAAAAGAAAAGCAACCAGGGATAAAATACAGACTGTTTGGAAAGAAAAAATAAACTGTTAGCAAATAACAGCAACAAAAACTATAAGATACTTGGGAATTTTATATAGATAGATAGATAGATAGATAGATAGATAGATAGATAGATATATGGCCTTGACAGAAAAAAATGAAAAAGATAGTAAGGGATATTTTTTCAAAACCAACCCTAGTGATAATAAAGATACCAGTTCCATGAATAGGAAGATGCAAAACTGTTAAGATACCAATTTTCATCAAATTAATATGTAAATTAAATATCATTCAAAATAAAATCTTAACAGGGTGTTTTGTTGGAACGTAAATGACAGTCCTCAAATTCATGCCGAATATTTAAGGTTTGCTTTTTAAAAACACCATGTTGGGAGAAAGAAGCCAGACCCAAAGCCTGAAAACATGATTCCACTTCTGTGAATGAATTAACCTAAACCACACACTAAGCAATAAAACAAGACAGCAAAGCGCAAAGATGATGATGGTGTGTGCTAGGAGGGGTCACAGAAGGGAGGGAGAAAGAAGGGGAAAGGGGTCACAGGAGAGAGGTGGGAAGGAAGGGGGGCACCATGGGCTGCGTGGCTGGCCAGGCATGGTCTCTACCTGCATAGTGGATTATGGATATATTTGCTTTATAGTGATTTACACAGCTTCGTGACAGTTACAGTTTGTGTTATACATCACAATTAAGAGTTAAAAGACAAAGAAATAAAAAATCCAGAAAAGGCAAGGCAATTTTAAAGAAGCATAAGTCCTATCAGATTTCAAGACATACTATAAAGTTGGGCTACCTAAAACAGTGTGGTCTTTATCTAGGGTTACTTAAATAGACCAAGAGAACAAGAGCTTAGAAATAGGATCCCCAGTGTAAGGGCACCTGGTATTCAGCAGACGTGGGTAGACTGGGAGGGAAGGGGCACATGGGCTATACACGAGGAAGAGACAGAACAGGGCCCCTTCCTGACACCAAACATAAACTTGCAATGGAATAAGAACTCAAATAGAGTTCATAAAATTGTAAGTCTTTCTGCACAAAATACAGAAGGAATACCTTTTTGGCACTGGGGTGGCAAAATATTTTAAAATAAGAAACATAAAGTACAAACTAGAAAACACACGTTGGTCTACTTTACAATTTAAAAGCTGTAGTATGCCAAAAGCTACCATAAATGAAGTGAAAACACAAGTAAGAGGCCTGAAGAAGGTACTCAGAATTCATATAGCCAACCAAGGCAGCATTCAGAATATATCAAGAAACCCTAAAAATGTGTAAGAAAAAGCCCAGTTTTAAAAGCATATGAATAGGTAATTTCAGAAGAGAAAACTCAAATGGCTAACAAACTCATGAAAAGATGTTTATCCTCACTTGTTTTTAAGGGACTGAAATCTAAAATGAGCAATCTTAAATACAGCAACAACTGGCAAAAACGTAAAGGTCCTCCATCATCCAGTTTTATCTCTTTTTTTTTTTTTCCCATTTTGTGGCGAATGGGGTCTTGCCATGTTGCCCGGGCAGGTCTTGAACTCCTGGGCTCAAGCATCCTCCTGCCTCTGCCTCCCTAAGTGCTGGGATTCCAGGTGTGAGATTTTGGTAAGGATGGAGGGAACTGAGAACTCTCACACAGTCCCAAGGGAAGGTGAAGCTATAGTGCCTCTGGGGAGCAATGTGGCAACACCAAGTAGAGCGGCCATGTGCTTTGAGGCACATTCCACTGCAGCCCTGCATGAGAGAGACAGGAAGCAGAAACAAATCATCCCCAGGAGGGGAACAGCTGAAGAGTGGGTTATCCATACAACACAGTACTATACAGCCATCCAGATGAACTCCATGTGTGTGTACTGACGTGTTTAAAGTGGAATGAAAAATACAAATAAGAGGTATCACATGTTGCGCTTATCTTCTTGCAAAATTTCAAAAAACAAAATAATAGTCTATGCTGTTTGTGCACACATCTGTCTGCAGTAACTACAGAATCACAGAAAGTAGCCTTTGCTGTAGAGGGGTGATGGGGGACACGGTAGGGGGTAGGGAGTGGCATTCTTTGTAACAAATACATATTTTTAATGAAGAGAGATACATCAAGTCAATATGGAAAAAAAACAGTAATGAATTGGAGGTAAGGAAGTAGAAATCCCTTTTCTGAAGATCTGGTATAAAACAG